ATTCCTGTCACCATGAGTACGGATTAAGCTCGTTGCGGTATCTAAAATCGTGTATAGAATAATTAATTAATTCCTGTCACCATGAGTACGGATTAAGCTCGTTGCGGTATCTAAAATCGTGTATAGAATAGTTAATTAATTCCTGTCACCATGAGTACGGATTAAGCTCGTTGCGGTATCTAAAATCGTGTATAGAATAGTTAATTAATTCCTGTCACCATGAATATGGATGAGGCTCGTTGCGGTATCAAAAATCATGTATAGAATGGTTAATTAATCAAAATACTGGGGGGTAATGGCACTTCATAAGAACGATTTTCAAGGTCTTACTTACCCTTGGAACTACTTCCTCTATCATCAGCTACGCTTAGTCCGAATAACATGGCTACACACTATTGTAAAACACTCTCAAATTTTGATATACTTTAGATCCATTATATCTAAATTTGACAAATACATAATTACACAAAAATTAATGTCCTATTCATTACAGACTATAATATTTCTGATCACGATTTTATTAGTCTAATTACCAACCTTTCATTTCATGAATATAGCAGCATAACTAAGTCATGTTGATTTTTTGCTACTTATCAACAAAACATAAATTTCTTTCATATTTTATAACGGGGAACTTGCACAATTCTTACTTCTTTTATTGTCTCACCCCCACCCCCGGTGATTCAGCGGTAAGTCTGAGGGCTTATTACGCTAAAATCGTAATTCGGCGATGGGCACAGCACAGGTAGCCCATTACGTACCTTTATGCTTATCAACAAAGAAAGAAATAATTTTTTACGGTACCAGCGTAGCTTTACGTTTTACTGCTTCAAGTTCCAAGTTATCGTTATCGCTAGTTTAAAAGTACACATTCCATAATATTACTGTTACTGTTGCTATGCCATACCTGAGTGTTCGTGACTTACATTTTGTGATGACATATTTCCTGGACTGAAAGAGGGGGCGCTTCAGGTGACCTCCTGTGCTTCCTCGATTTCTGCCTAAAATACACCCATGCAGTAATGATGGAGACAAGAGCCAAAGCGATGCCAACAGAGCCACCAACAATAAACCATATGTATAAAGCTGTAAGAAAATGAAAACGTTTAACTCATAATTCTACAACACTTGCTGTAAGAATACAATTACGTGCGTTTCAAATGAAAAATATAGGATTTTGTTTCATGGATTAAAACAGAGTACATGGAAATTTAAGATCTTCTGTACATTTACCTCGAAGCCGTTTTCTAATCCTGTTTGAATTCAATTTTCACATTTACCGAAAACTTCGTAATACAAAGTATTATTACTAACCAACAATATCAATTACGCCCATATGCATTTTTTTTGCGTATTTCTATAAGGAAATGGATACCTAAATTATGCGAAATTCAAAAAATTAAATGATTTCTCCTTTATTTGACTATTGCCATCTTTCAGTGCTGGCGTGGCTCGTCTGAACTTTTGACTTAGAGACTGACTCTAATATTAATCTCCCTATTGCCCCCCCCCCACTGGCACAGCGGTATGTCTGTGTACTTACAATGCTAAAAACCGAGCACCGATAGCCCTTTGTGTAGCTTTGTGCTTTACTAGAAGCAAACAAACAAACTCTCCATTGACGTTATTGAATTTCTAAACCACGATGAAAAAGTTATCTTTAAGTACGCAGTCACTACCCTTACAAAATGGGTAAATCGCTTTACTAGGTTCCGCCACGACGAAAAGGCAATCTTTACGACTCGTAAAGATTGCCTTTTCGTCATGGCGGAGGCTAATAGAGTGATTTACCCATCGTGTAAGGGTAATGATTGCTGCAGTCATTACCCTTACACGATGGGTAAATCACTCTATTAGCCTCCGCCATGACGAAAAGGCAATCTTTACGATGCAATCACTACCCTTACGAAATGGGTAAATCACTCTATTAGCCTCCGCCATGACGAAAAGCTTATCTATACGTACGCAATTACTACCCCTCCACGATGGGTAACTCACTTAACTGACCTCTTGAGACCCGGAAAGTTATGATTTGACATAATCACAAAACATTCACTTGCTATATTTATTTGATTGCACTAAATATGATGATAACATAAACAAAACATATTTATTCAACAGATTGTCCTTTATTATTTACAATAGGTTTCAAAAGGGTTACTTCTAGGGTCTTGTTTCAAGTAATTCAACATCATTGGAAGTTTTAGAGGACAAATTTTGACGGATAGTGTTCACGAAGCTGACTGAATTGTGAAATATTCCACGCAGTGTATATAAATGCGATATGTTGGAAATGAAAATATTCACGAACAAATGTCTAATTAAGTGCAAAGATTCAAGGTATTTGCCTGCAACGTTAACGGGCAGAACAAACTACAAGCAACTCATGATGATGGTAAAGTGACCATAGGATGTAATACTTCTACAACGACTCTATCATATTACTAACTGATTTATGTAAATAATGAACAGCTTGGCCTATACGAGACTTAACAAGTTACTGGATAATTAGGTTATGAACTATTTTAGGATATCTACAAATGATATTAAGATATACAGCTTTCTTTAAAGTAGAAGTTAAGTAAGAAAAAAAAATATAGTTAACTAGAGGACTAGTTTCGACGTACCAAAAACATCATTTTCAGTATGCGTGTTATTTATGCGATTTTATTTCGTTATTGCCCCTTTTTTTACTTAGTTTTTACTTTAAAAAGCTAACATCTTAATATTAAATTACAGGATAATCATATCACACTGGTAAATAATAGGAAGCGTTCAATTAAATATCACGTTTTCTTGCACTTTTGCGAGAGTTGAAAATAACGAATATATTTACACTTTGAATGTTACTTTTTGATTAGCCAATGATAGGCCTCTAAACTCGCAAGACCCCCCAAATTTATTGTCTTGTTGCACTTGAGAAAGCCTCTACCATATTTAAAAGTCTACATGCAATTAGATTGACAGTAAAATTATTGATGGGGTTTGTATCCTTCGTTTTTATAAACACATTTTTGTAAATTGATTTGTAAATTTGCGTTCTTGACGTTATTGGTTACATACAAGTTTGCCCCCCCCCCCAGTGGAACCGCGGACTTACAACGCTAGAAACCGGGTTTCGATTCCCATGATGGGCAGAGCAGATAGCCCATTGTGTAGCTTTGCGCTTAACTACAAACAAACAAACATACAACTTTGCATAGGCGTACGGGGAATTTTTCAGAGGGGGCTGTACAATTTTTGCCCGAATGAGGTTATGAGGTAATATTTTCTGCTTCTAATTTTGCCCGAATAAAAGCTGAAATTTTGCCCTTGCTGGAGGTACCTATGTGACTTACATAGAAAATAAGCGATTTCACTCAGCTTTTGGTCAGTTCCTTACACTGAGCGTTGTAAAATGCAAACATATATAATTATTCAATATAACTTAATTACATTTGTCATTCCTCAAAAGACAATTAACCAAAATTTCTAACATGATGGTTTCGTTTGAAAAGACCAGTTGAATATTTATTATTCTCAAGAATGTTCCTGAATTATCCACATAGTCATACTTAAATTAATTTTATCTCAATTGCCTTCATATTTGTAATACGTAAATTAGAATTTCAAGCCTGTTTTGATTAGAATACAGAGTTCATGTCAGCACGATATTCTTAGATTAGTTATTGGATGGGCACCTCATAATACTGAAAAGAGTTTTAAGAAAACGGGGTGAAAACATGTAACTTAATTGCCTAAATTTTCGACGAAAAGTATTTTGCTTTTAAATGCTTCATTTTGCGTGATCTCACTTGTATATCTCTTGTAAATCGTTGAAGAAACCTTTTCTAACCTTACTTCAAAAAAATAAATAAATACAAATACTGACAACGAAAACGTTAGCATTAACAAGCTAAAATACCACCAAACACGCAGACTGAATACAAATTCTTAGTACATTATTTCTTACGCAGTAAGGAAATAAACATAAGAATAACACAGTCTTTGTGATAATTTTATCATTTATAGTAAAGGAAGTAGAGTTTAACACAATAGCCTCTCCCTCGTTTGGATTATTATTTTTAATTAAAAAAAAAGAAAACAGACTCAAACGCAAATAGAGTCGTATATATATAGGACATACCCCATATGTGTAGTTCCCCTGCCAGTCAGCAGTAAGTTTACGAACTCTAAGTGCTAAAACCCGAGGTTCGATTTCCTGAGGTGGACAAAATACATATAACCCGTTATGTAGATTTGTGCTAAAACAACATTGGCATGTCCCTAATGTGTGTGATTCTATTTATATATGCTCCCTATTGACTCAGTAGTTAGTCTGGGAGCTTATAAGGCTAAAACTCTGGTTTCGATACCTGTGATGAGAGGGCACAGATAGCCTGCTGTGTGGCTTTGCACTTAACAACAAGTAAACAAACTATATAGATATATGTAGTTTGAAAGATCGAAGAGATTTGGTTTTGAACTATGTAATATAAATAGCAGTTAAAGTCCGGGCGTGGCTTAATAGTGTTAGCGTGCTCGGTAAATAGCAGTTAAAGTCCGGGCGTGGCTTAATAGTGTTAGCGTGCTCGGTAAATAGCAGTTAAAGTCCGGGCGTGGCTTAATAGTGTTAGTGTGCTCGGTAAATAGCAGTTAAAGTCCGGGCGTGGCTTAATAGTGTTAGTGTGCTCGGTAAATAGCAGTTAAAGTCCGGGCGTGGGTTAATAGTGTTAGCGTGCTCGGTAAATAGCAGTTAAAGTCCGGGCGTGGCTTAATAGTGTTAGCGTGCTCGGTAAATAGCAGTTAAAGTCCGGGCGTGGCTTAATAGTGTTAGCGTGCTCGGACTCGTTGACGCAGAAATGCGCTGCAGAATTTGGAGTTGTGAGTGTGTTAAAGAAGTGAGGGTCAAATCCCACCATTAAGCCAGATGCTTAATCATTAACATGATGCTTTCAGAAAATTTGTTCAAATATGAACACGCAGCATCTATTGCTAAAAAGTTATTTGAACTACATTACAAAGTTCAACACTATTTGTAAATCACGAAAGAAAAAACAGCAAACAAATAAACCAGTGTCAGGCTAATCAAAACAACAAACATTTACGTTGTAAAAATACGCATTAAGTACTGGCAAAGGTGCCGTAATGCTGGATTTAAAGCGTAATGACTTAAATGGGGGCGTGGGTCATTCCCTTCTACTATTTTGAACACGAACTGTTAGTCTGATGCAAAGGTACCCGTGCTATGCGCGGCATTAAACGTCACTTTGGTTTAGCGTCGGCTTCACTTATTTTGCTATCGACTTTCTCGCTCAGTGGACCAGGCGTCTTCTGTGGTTATTGTGCCAATCTGTAGATTCAAGCGCTTACAATTTATTGCCTGTTGCAACAAAAACGCGCTTCACACTTCGGAGTCTTGAGTGTGTTAAAGAGTGACAGTCAAATCCTACTATTCAGTCACACAAAAGTAACCCAAGATTTAGCATTGGGTGCTGTTGACTAGCTGCTTTGTCTCTATGCCCTCTTTACTATTAGTTGAAAATTGGGCACGGCTTTGCTTGTAAACCATGCAACGTTAACAATTTGAACTGGCAAACAGTTTCAAATCTTACGAGATAAGTCACTGAGCTCTTACGTTTTTCCCACTAATCTTTCTTCTGTATGTAGAACTTATATAGCACAGTAGGCCATAATTTTACATTTCATTTTCTTAGTTACTTTTTATTACAAAAAAAACGCCTTTAAAGTCGGGCCATAATTTTACATTTATTTTCCTTAGTTACTTTTTATTACCAAAAATAATGCCCTTAAGTTCGAGCCATAATTTTACATTCGATTTCCTTAGTTACTTTTTATTACAAAAAAAAAACAACAAAAAACACACCCTTAAAGTCGGAGAGGAAATTGATCTGAAATAAGGAGAGAGTTCGCCATGTTTTGAATATACGGTTGCAAATAATAGTAGACAGTCTGAAGGGAAAACAAAATCAAACGTCGGAACTTTTATTGTCTTGATAGTGAAGTGGTACTAAGCTATAGATCTGAAGAGGGAAAAACGTAATGTATGAGGACCGCAAGCAAAAAATAAAAATCGGGGATTATTT